ACACACACACACACACACACACACACACACACACACACACACACACAGACAAGCACACACACAGAGCAACCCCCCACCCCCACCCCCCACCCAACGAATGTCTTCCCTGCAGCTTGTCCTCGAAATGGCAACCAGTCCAAAGTGACACATGCACCCAACCCACCAGACACCGAGCGCTCACTCGCTCACCAAAAACAGATCTTCTGCTTAGCCACCAACCCCCCCTCCGGAGACCAAGAGGGGTAGAATAAATTGGACTGGAGATCTTTTCTCTCAGATTATTCCAGTAGATGTTGCATTTTGCCTTGAGTGAATTCTAATTAGTGCGATTAAATCCACTCCGCTGGTATATGTACATAGGCAGTGGTGATGCTAAAACAAGCTTATCGCCACAAGAATCAACAACAAGCGTTTGTGCCCTGACTTAGCCCTGGGCCGAGTCTTATTGCAACTAATGCTTTTGTTCTATTTGTGGCTGGTTTTCATTGTGGGTGCTTTGATGTTGGTGGCTCTAAGTGCTTGGATTTGCATATTTCGCTGTCCTTCTTGATACGTGGTTAATGAATTTGTGCAGTCCAAAGCAGCTCTTAGAATGCTCATCTGGTGTACAGTAGAGGGTGTATTTAACCAAGCATAAACTTCAGAGATAAACCACCAAAGCAGATTTTCTATTTTGATACAGCATTTGTGTGCATTGATTTCAGCAGACCTGTAATTATCTGAACAGGCGCATTTTAATTATAGCTGTGAAAACAAAATGGCCTTTTTTTCTTCGTCAAAGGCAACAAAGGAGCAACTATGAGAACAATATTAAACTCGGGTCCATCCACATGTTTTAATACAATAGAGGCTCACAGCCCTGGCTTGTGCTTTGAACCTTGGGAGAAGGGTGAGGTCACTGGCTATCTGCTCTGTACTATAAAAGGCAAACTTAAAGGCCGGAGTGAAAACAGGAGAAGGACAATGATGAGAAAGACGTGTTATTTAGTAGAACATAAAGCAACAGAAAAGCCTTTTGATATCATCCCCCTTTAAGCCCAGAGGGACTCTGTGATCTTGACATTTAGTCGGGGTATTCAGTAGACAGAGATAAAGTAATTGAGGTTTTTGGTCTTCTTCATAGGCAGCACGGTGGCGCAACTGGTAGAGCTGCTGCCTCTCAGCGAGCAGGTCCCTGGTTCAAACCCCGGTTCAGGGGCCTTTCTGGGTGGAGTTTGCATGTTCTCTCCGTGCATGCGTGGGTTTTCTCCGGGTACTCCGGTTTCCTCCCACAGACCAAAAACATGCATGTTAGGCTGATTGGTAACTCTAAATTGTCCCTAGGTGTGAGTGAGAGAGTGAATGTTTGTTTGTCTCGTTTGTCTCTATGTGGCCCTGTGATGGACTTGCGACCCGTCCAGGGTGTACCCCGCCCCTCGCACAGTGATTGCTGGACATGGGCACCAGCGACCCCCGTGACCCAAAATGGAATAAGCGGGCAAAGAAAATGGATGGATGGATGGATGGTCTTCTTCATAACTTCTATAATCTTCCTTACCAGTGAAGCTGAGTTTTTTTCATTTATTGGTTTGATGAAAGTTTTATGCATTAAACACAAAAGAAGTTAAAGAATGTGACAGCTTGGTTATTTAGTGTAATTGACCACAGACAAAGTTAGCATCTTAGTAGGTGACAAGTTGTTCTTTATGTTGAGTTCAAATGTTTTATTGATGGTTAAAATATAACAACACTAAGAAACAGTTCGTAATGGTTTTACTTTCATGACGTGTCACACATTACAGTTGTCCCTCGCTACTTCGCAGTTCAATTATTGTTGACTCGCTCTATCGCGGTTTTTCAAAATAAGATTGGACGTGACACACACTGGCTGATTGATGGATGAGCTGCATGATCGGCATGAATTTTTATTTAAAATAAATTATTTTAAATTATTTAGCACCTGCTGCACATTTGTGCAGCCCATACTGCAGGATAAACTTCCTGCTGCAGCTGATCTGCTGTTCTCAGTGCAAACCGGAGAAGTGGGCGTGGCCAAGAGCACTTGCAGGTGGCAAAGAGCAGAGGAGGCAGGGAGCTGAAATCATGACATTCTGTATTCTTTTAGAGTGTTTAGAGTTTAGAAATGTTGTTTAGAATATTGCAAAAATGTGGGAAGGGTTTAAAATGCCTATATATATATATATATATATATATATATATTTATTTATTATTATTTGTAATATAACTATCAGATAAAAGCATAATTTAGGTACAACAATATATATATATATATGTCACCCTCTGATGTTTGTTCTTTGTTTGAGTTGTTCTTTGCTTGCATTTTTTCCCTCTGTTTCTTTGTTGAAAAGTAAAACCACAAAATATATATAAATTTTTTAAAGCACAATTTTTGTCCTGACACATAAAGAAAGAAATGCAAAAGATTCCAAGTATGACACCAGTGTGGGTTTTTCTTTCAGTGTGTTTAATTCAAAGTGTGGCTGATTGTAGCTCAAATCTGACAGAAAGTAGTGATGTGCCAGTCACACTTTTGTTGTCTATTTGATTTCCAATTTTTTTGCACAAATTTAAAACATTTTTTAAATATATATATTTTTGTATTTTTGTTCAAGTTCAAGTAGGTTTTATTAACATTCACATCTCATGTGGTAGATGAGGTGGAACGAAATTGTGTACACAGGGTCCCAGTTACATCCAACAATAATAAAAATATTAATTTTAAAAAGAAACAGTAATAAGGATCTAAGATATAAACTAAGAAATACGCTAAACACTAATAGTGCAAAACAACCTTGCAACCTTTTCAAATTCATAGGTAGGTGGTACACACGATGGGTGTAAAAGATTGTGTATTTGTAGCAAAACATCAAATTACAGATGACAGGCCTCATAAAATGCTAATATAAAGAGAATGTTTGTCTGAGACGATTACCACTCATCTGGAAGAGGGTGCACTTTTCTTAAAATTAATTTTGCTAACTGCCACAACAGGAAGCAGATGATAATAAAGCACTCTACAGCAAAGCAAAGCAAGAATGACTGGTTGAGATGAAATACAAGTGCTTGAGACTTGTTTAATTTTGAATCAGCTGTGTGGAAAAGATTTGCGTTCCCAGTGGAGAGCAAGAGGTAGATATACGGAAATCCAAAAGACCATAATCTGCATGCTCTGAAACACCTTCTGATGTCTAATAAATACTGTCCAACATGCGAGGCTTTTAAAAAGCATCAGCTGAGCAGCGATGGCACACTTGCACTCACATAGATGAAAATGTAATGTTTAATAATTATTTATTTAATTTTTTCAAATTGGGAAGTTCTGTTTTGCCTTTTCTGCATTAAATTTAGAGTAAATTACTGAAATAAGCACTTATTTTTGTACCCTTTTCATTAATAAAGAAAACTTTTTTTTTCATTTTTGTAGTTTATCAACGTTTTAATTTTTTGTTTGTTTGTTTTTTATTGATACATGGCTTGTAGGACGCTGCTCACAATCAAACTGGAAGGACAAAACGGTCAACATGAATGTTGCTTTAAATTTCATTGTAAAGTTACATGTATCAGGTGACCAAACCTTTTGTGGTGTACATCAGGGGTTCGCAAACTTGTTTGATTCAGGGACCCCCTCATAATCCTCGTGTTTATTAAATAATTTTCTTCAATTTGTCTCTTTAATGCAATGGAAATATCTGTGTAACATAAATACTTAAGACCTGTTCTTTAATAGTGTTAATACATTTTTTATACTTTAAACATGGGGTATTTATCATTCAAGACACAATTAACTTTTTTTTTCTTTCAACTTCCTAAATTTTCAGTTTTGAGAAAATTAACAGAATCAAAAACCACTTTAAAATTTTCCTTATTCACATCATGAACATACATGTATTGCCACTTCTTCAAATTATTACACAAAACGCTTTACATAAAACTGAACAGAATCATAACAGCAGTAGTCAGACCAAGTAACATGGCTTAATTTGTAGACCTATCAGTGCTGGATAGAGCTGTCATTTCTAACCCCCAACCTGAAACCCGGCCCGGACCGACCCAGATTAGGGCCGGGCCGTTATCATGTGATTAATGGGCGAGCCGGGCCGGTCTCGGGCTTTTAATTAGGTCAGGATCAGCCGCGATCAATTATATGATAACATGGCCTGCCATACAAGCAGCACGCAGCCAGTTCACTGTGTGCTGACCTGACTTGAAAGAGGTAAAAAGTTCAGTTAAGCTTCTTATGGACTGTACTGCCAGGCAGCGATCCATCGCCCAAATGGACGTTCATTCAGCCGCTGCACTCAGTGCACGCGCGCAGCTGAAGACCCAAACAGGTGAGATCCCAAAGCAGACGTGTCAGAGCTGTCCACGTGTCTCAGTAATTCACAAGAATGCAGAAGAAACGGGGTTTAAATGTTTTTTTTTATGGCCATGAAAATTCAAACGTCTCTCAGCTCTTAATCTTCTGCTACTTTTATTCAGCTGCGTATCTCCGACCGTTAATAACTAATTAAAAATGTTTTTTTTTTTCCGTGTTCGGAATTTATGATTGTGGGCTGGGGCTGGGTCGGATCAGATTTTTTGAGCCAGAATGCAACTCTAATGCTGGAATGCAAATAGCGGGCAGGCCGGTGGGGGGGATCCTCCTCCAGAAAATTTTTAATAAAGTAGATGTGATTTCCTGCATTTCGGTGTATTTTAACTGGTTGTTAAACATCTATGTGCTTGTAAAAAAAAATATA